CTCAGGGTACTTATCGAGTAGTGGTTGATAGAGTGGGTCTATCATATGTTTAACTGTGACTGGGGATACTCTACAACCAGTAAAAGAAGTTACGCAAACGGACAAATTAGTGTTACCGTCTACTAGCTTCCGTTTGCGCGTGTCGATGATCAGATTGTGGTGTTGTAGAAGATCCATACCAATGATTGGCATAGAAACATCTGCAACAACGAAAATCCAGTGGATGGGTTTGCGTAAACCCACGTTAAGGTAAACGTACCTTTTGCCATACGTAGCGATCGGTTTTCCGTTTGCCGCCTGTAAGTTTAGGGTCGATTCGTGTAGTCGGTCGTTAGGAATCGCTGGGAGAACGCTAACTTCTGCGCCAGTGTCGACGAGGTAGCGAACTCTCGTTGTCACATCTGTGACGAATAACAGACGGCTTTGTTCGCCGGCTACGGTTGCCGTTAACGCGTGCCGGCTTGGAAGTTTCCCGAATTGCTTTTCGAATCAGTCGGTTTCGTGTTGGGAAAATTGCAGGGTTTCCTGCAATTTCTGGAAAACTTTCCATACTGGTTATGATACCAGCACCAGTCGGGGTTATCTGTCTCTCGTGATCTAGAGACAGATCGCTTACGAGAAATGCTTCTACTTGGTGTGCGCGATCTCTTACGGTCGGTACGAAGACTAAGATAACGCGTGAGTGTGTGACATAAGTCGTTTATATCATTCTGAGTCGTTTGAGGTTTTTCTTTGACTGAAAATACCTCGGTAGTAGATTTCGTAATTTCTAATATGCGGTCGGCAGATGCAGCTAGCTCGTCTAAGGCGTTGTTCTGGAACGAGACCAGAACTGTTTGCACCTGTTGGGGAAGTTTTGACAAGAAGAGTTGTTTGAATAGGCCTTCGTCGAAAGTTCTTGGGCCTATAACCTCTCTCATCCGTTGCAACATGTCTGTCGCAGAACCGTGTTGCAGGTCGATATTGTTGAAGAGTTGATCTAACCTTTGTCGATCGGTTAGGTCTCCTCGTTTAAGAATCGAGCGTTTTAAGATTTCGTAAGGATCGGAAACATCACTAGTAAACATACTAGGTGTTACGTACCTGTTGAATTCGCGCGGTAGTGCCTTGACTACTGCGAGGAATTGTGCACGTGTGTCGATCACGCCGTGCTGGGAGAAGTCGGCTTCTGCGTAGCAAAACCAGGCTTCGATGTTGTCGGGCCAGAAAGGCATGAGTTGAAACGAAGGCGGGGACAAAGTCTTAAGCTTGAGTACTTTAGGTGTCTGTTCAGTCATGATGAAGTATGAAGTACGATAATGAACAAGGGGAAAATATATATATCCAGGAAAAAAAACGAAAAAAAAATCACAATGTTTAAAAAAAGTTAAAAAAAATAAGGCAATGATATATAAAAATCCCAAAAAGGAACAGACTCACAGTTGCAATTAGGTGTACCAGATCACGTCGGGTTCACCAATGATGATGTCACAGGTATTCAGTGTTTGACAACGCTTCTACCAGTAACACCTTCTAATATATTTCGTTCCCGCCCAGAGAAATCAAAAGACAGAGTCGAGGAGATCGGAAGAGTATATTTGGCGATGACCAATATATCGGAATTCTCTGATCTAATCTGGCTAGCGATTGCGGTTGATGTTGAGCACGGCGTTACCACACGTGATCTGGTGCGGATGACTGACCGAGCGCCTTCAGCTAGGTGAGTCCACTAAAACATATGGTCAGCATCCAATGTCGAAAACTTAGTGCTATTTATTTTGGGGATTTATTTACCGCTACACCGTACTCTAAATGGGGACGGATGAAACTATTAGAGATTATATGGAAAGTTCTTCCGTCGAACTGTTCAAAAATGCGCTTCAACGTTACTAGCGCAAGGTTTGCTCGGAAGGCATTTTTGTCACAGTTAGCGTAAGACTTTAAATCATGGGGCACCAAGACTCCTAAATCTTTTTCTACTTGAGATACTATTAGAGAGGTGTTAAAAGTAAGTCCATTATTATCTGCCCAACTTTGGAGTCGTCTTGAGTGAGAGCCTTTTCAGTCCCATTGCGAACCATTTGAACTACATGAAATAATTCTAATCATATAAATTATGGGCTCCATTTTTGAGTACCACAATCCGATTATACAATGTAAGTAAAAACACAAGTATTAAAACCTTTTTCATAGCTAGGAGAATAATCTGAAAATTCAGCTCCTGTCTTTAAAAATCGACATTATGCTTTCCTGATGAATAAGGTTAGGGTGATCTTATCCGCAACGCAACCAATGTAAACTTAATGTATCGCATACTGTCATTTGTGCGTTCAAGTAACCACATATTTTGTCATTTCATAATGTATTTTTAATTAAATAACTAGATTATGTAGTTAATTTTTCTCTGTTTTTAATTTTTATTCGCCACGTCCGACTGCGTTACACTGTACGTCCATTGCACGCTGAAATGATATCTCAAGTCATAGTGATTTTATTCACATAGTTGATTGTTTCCAGATAGACTGTCAGTGCATGATTTTACTGAAGAAAGGTTTGTTGTACTGTAAACTGTGTTTCTATGATCAACTTCCTGTTGTCTTCAGTATGAATTCATACTGAATACTGCTTTAAAGCAGTATATATGTATCCTTCTTTTTTTCTTAGGTAAGTTCAACTGGCCTATATTTCGTGTTTTGGTTTTATCGGCTTAATTATGTCCATTTACCTACTTTGAGCAACATGTCTTTGCAAGTGAAACAATAACTATGACACTTGCTTAGTTTGATTTTCTTGTTTGTCGTATAATTCAGTTTAGTTGAAGGAATTATGATATAATTAAGTATAGTGCTTGAAGCCTGTAACGAAACAGATCAGTTTAGTAAGTATACTCTATAGAGTTGCCTGTTTCCAATGTGTATACGGATTCAGATCAGCCTGATTAAAAATAGGAAAAAACGTGCCTTTGATGCTGTTGCTATATAGCATGTATGATATCATACATTATAAGATAGCGATAAGTATGTTTGGTGTTTATTTCTAAACTGTACATCTATCACTGACCATATTTCATGATCACTGTCATTAAACAATTTCCCCATCAATAACATCGGTAGCAAGATAGCTAAGTGTCTGAGCTTTTAGTTGCCCGCAAAACAGCAGTATACAGTCTTAGAAGATGAGTGTTCTGTGTCTCAATTAAATGCAGCTGGCTGTGGACAAAGGTTAAGAATCTTTTTGACAACTGGGACTTTTAGTTTATCAGACACTTACTCTGCTGGTATGTTGTCCTGTTAAACTAGACGCAGATGCATGGGAATACTTAAATGGGAGCAAAATAATAAAAGCATTGCAATACGGTACTAAGCCCATGTCACGCTTTGCGCAAGTAATAGTAGCTGACCTTACCTAATATTCATGAACTCAAGTTAAATCACAACTGCATAAATTCTTTGCTAAAAAATATGTAATTTGGTTATATATATATTCCACATTTCTGACTAAATTCATCACCATTTTTTCATTTAGAATGCAACAGGAGTGAGTCTTCACAGATCATAAAAACTGTTTCGCCCTTAGAACTATGGCCCTATGGAACTGTTTACGGGAGATCCAACGAACAGCAGATGATAAAAAGGATGCTGTACTTCCATTTTAGTCTCACAACCACTTCCAGTATTTTGTGACTTCTTTTACTCTTTCGTTTGGAAAAATACAACGAAAACTGCAGCTTAACATTACCAATACAACTTTTAAACTGGAACTTGGTTTAAACCTTTGTTTGCTATTCGATTCTTAATGAAAGTTCTTGAATAAATTTCTGAATCTAATGCTACTCTGTTTTATCTACTTAATCGTTGCAAGAAACTTGTGATAAGCGAGCCTCTCAGCACCTAGTTCATGTGTTCAGATGGTTGTGGACTGAATAGAAGAAGCTTTCGCTTAACAGGCTTCCGTGGATAGTAGCAGGGGATCACCAATACCTCAAGGCAGAAAATTTGGTATGTTAACAATAAAAGAGGAAAAAGAAATTGGTAAATCATAGTATGATACTATACTTAGTCCTTAAGAATGAACCCAGTTGCCTCTTAAAGGACTCCTGAGAAGTCGCTTGGATTAGCTCGGTCGGCAGAAAATCCCAGCATTTGACAACTCTTAAGGAGGAGAAGTTGTGCCTACAGTCCGTCCTGCTATGTTGTGTCTGTGGTTTCTGGGTGTTACCCCTTAGGTTAGTGTTGGAACCAAGCCTAATTAGGTGTTTTAGGGGATGTCCAGAAGTGTTAAGGTTTATTGTAAGCCATTAGGTCACCTCTAAGACGTCTATACTGTAATGAGTAGAGGTTAAGTGATTTGGTGCATATCCTCGTCATTTCCTTGGGAGACCTACAGACTCGGGTCCTCTCATAGCTTATTCTAACCACCATGGGTTGTCACACCAACTGATGGATGGACACGCGTTACACATCCTAACCGTACCTGCGTCTTATCTTATAGCTTCTAATTCAAATGCCATATGACAAGCAAGCAATGCCCCTACCCGCACTTATGGAACACTAGTAACTAAAATGCACCCCGTATGGTACCTTACACTGGTTTACGCACTCGCTTAGCTCTTTAGTGAAAATCCCATGAGCCCCCCTACCTCCATCAAAACAAATAAGTCTGTATTTGCAGCATATAGCAATTTTATTATTCAAAAGTAAGGTATAACAGTTAGAATTGGAGTAAAATGGCAGTATACAACAGATGCAAGTGGTACATGTCTTCATCGATTAACTGAAATAGAGAATATGGATATTAGATTAACAGCCTTATTTAGAAAGACTAGTGTCTAATTTGAACTTACTGCTTGAGAAAGTTATACTGGAACTACGAATGTTTCTCGGGGCGTACGAAGCACTCAGACTGTAAGACAGTTGTCCAAAATAAATTCGAATATGGAGGTGAAAATTTGCAGGTACTTTTCATCGTAAGGGTGAACATATTAGGTACCAGTTGACATCATACCGTAAGAAAACGCATATTTGCGAGTGGTGAAACACGATCTATAAAAAAGTGAGCTTAATAACAGTTAATTACCTTTTAACTCCCTGATCATGACCCTTCGGTTACCGTTTATGGCCAAAACAGCAAACATACACTAGACACTGGTAGCAGATTTCCGGCTTTTCAATGTTAAGCTTGCTTTAACGCACTGAGTAGTGAGTACAACCCCTCTATTACTGTTATATGGCATATTTTTTCATAACAAACCCTCTGCAATAGATTGGTAGCATCTGTGACTTCATCTATAGTTGTCGGAAGTCTGGGTCCTTTCGAAATCAGTACCGATATACCCTACTGCTGGGCACTCTGTATTAGTTTGACTCGTTGGTGGAAGTGTTGTCCATAATACTGAAGAAAATTAAAAAACGCAGATTGTTTCCTTTCATTTTGCCGATAACATCATAAAGGATAGTTAGGAACGAACATGCGAACAGTTAGAGTCACAGGCGGCAGCAACAATTATTTTAGCTAAATAAAAACGAACTTCGACTTCGGATATCTAGAAAACAAGATAAAACATAACCGATTGTCGTTTGAAAACGTAAGGTCTTATGTTAGTACTAGCCAGCTTAGCTGAATAAATACAGTGACTTCATTAGCAGCAGATAAAACCCAGAAAACAAAGCAAAATCAGGAAAAACTTTGCTCCAACGTTCAGAGTATTACACTAACTTTTGAATTTTAGCACACTGAAACATCAAATTCCGTAGCTACACAAAAGAAATAGCTGAAAGAAGCACAGAACGAAGAAAGCCGACCGCCATTGCTTACGAAGATGGCGGATGTAATAATTCCCGCCTCATTCTGATTGGTTGCTAAGCTGGAGGGCACATTTACGAAATTGAGTTGCGTTTAATTGCAGCCATAAGGTTAGGAGTCGCAATCGGCCTTGAAAGTTTTACTTAATATTCGAACAAATGACTTGTTTCGTTACCATATTTTGAATGAGTGTCGAACGTAGTGTCCTGAAGAAGCGTCTAGAGCGCAGGCTTGACCGTTTAACTAGAAGCTGTCAACATGCAACTCAGGAGGTATTTTCTTCATCCTAAAACTCAGTTACTCTAAATTAGCTATCATTTCTTCTTAGAGATTTCACAAAGTATATTGAGCGGCATATTGATAATTCCCCATCGGATTTTTCTACTAGTGATAGGATGTCGAATATGGTCTTAGTATCCGAAATAATAATTGAAGATCTTTTTGATCTATTGTCTAATTATCACCATGCATCAGAGAACATCCTGAAGACGTGCACGCAAGCGCACCAACCAGTAAGTTTTTTTTCATTTTGATAGAATAAACAGCAATTTCACATATAAGTAGAATTTTTTAGGTCCAGCATGTATAGATGAAAGTGGTCGTCAAATTCCCACAGGCGGAAGTTCAATTAAATTCAAGTTTTACTGCTCCCATCATTGAAATAAAATTGTGTAATTTTAGGCGAAATTTGAGGACAGTTGTAATGGAAATCTTAAGGATATGTAGCCGAAATTCTATAATTCATCCGGGCGTGGGATTTTTATCGAAATAATCAGCAGACCCACGCAACATTTTCACGTACATTGCGAAAACGCTGTGAATCACTGATAGAAAATTCTAGAGTGATTACTACATTTTGATTGTCGTCCTAGAATTTGCCTACGTTTGTGATTTTTCTTTCACAATTAATTGTCCCAGGTCCAAAACTTTTGTTGAAGTGACTTGATTTTCCTGCGAAATGTTGAGTAATTCTGGGATTTCTACCCACAATAGTTGGAGAATATGCCGTTAATCAACTCTTAGAATTGACCGATGATCTGAACAGAAATCCCGTTTTCTAAAAATTTCCATCTTTGTCGGAACTTAATTTTCCCATAGTTACTACAGTCAAAATTAGCCTAAGCTCATAACATACTTGTTTAGCACCACCTACCAAATTGTTTCTCACCAAACAAACTGACATCGCCCAGTTAAATGTCACGAAAATAGTCTTTCTAATCACTCTAGAATTTTCTATCAGTGATTTACAGCATCCTCCCAAGGTATGTGGAAATGTTGCGTAGTTTTGCTGATTATTTTGGTAAAAATCCCAAACCTGGGATGCATCTGTTTTACTACATCATTATTTGAGCTCTTTCTGAAGTTTGGTTACGTCATTTTTATTTTTCATTAATTCATATCTTACTGATTTCACTTCAAATCTTTATTACCATTAATCGGTTTTTAACTTACTTTATTACATAATCGTCTCATGTTTGTTAAATCTATAAGTTCTAATCACTGGAATTTTCTCGCTCAAACTAGTTACATTATATATATATATATATATATATATATATATATATATATATATATATATATACTATTTCCAAAATAGTAAAGCAGGGTCTATATATCAGGTATTGTGGTGAAGAGCCAAATAATATAACACATTAGTCGTTTACTCCAGCACTGCCATTTTAAGCAAATCTCTTGATGCTTCTGATTTATTAAATATTCCTACTTCGTGTAAAGCATGTAATCTTGATAGATCAGCGTACAATTGCCATCTCGTTCTTGCCGCCTATTTAACCAGGTATTAGGTGTATAATTAACTTTGTTTTCGTGTTTGTGATAGTTTAGTTGGTTCTACTTAACTAAACTAACGATAGCCATATTTTGACACCTTTTTAACAAAATTTGTCCTGAGCTCCGGTAGATGTACATTTTACGAATGACTTAAAATGCATTTAAGAATTCATAATTGGACCCCATATATTTTATTTTGGGTAAAAATGCCTAGAGGCTCCCAGTCCTGTTGTGTGGTTTCGAATTATAATATGGTAAACATTAATCTACTGAAGGAATCAAAATAAACGAATATAATGCGGATCAACAAATGAACTTCAGTGATAAGATTTAGCCGATTCATGAATGGTCGTAAGAGTTATTGATGTAAACACTTGAATATGCTGAAAGCATGGACACAATATAAGTAGGTCTTTTACCTAATAAAATATAAAATTCAATCAGTACCTAGGTATGAGACACACTATGTGCGAACTAATTATACTAGACGGTTGCCTAAAACGAAATAAGTAGGGTGGAGTTCAAACTTGGGACTCACTGGCTGGACGTCAAACACTCTAACCACTAAGCCACCGATCCACTCATCTAATAAAATAATATATTTGTGGGCAAAACGTTAACAGAAATAGACAATTACCCTAATACGGCCGAGGGTGAGATGAGTCAGCTCTCTCACTCGAAATCAGTCAGCAACGATGTAGAACTTCGTACGTACGTACATCAGTTCTAGTTGCCATACCCTCTCAAAATGCTCTCACATGGCCATGTGTATACAACCACTGCCAGGGAAGTCCTACTCACTGCCTTCTCGCTGCGAGGGTGTTGTTTATGAAATCGAGAAGACAAAAAGCGAATATCCGGCACTTTAACCGGGTTGGTGGATATGGAGGACCCACCTAGGGGAGTTGGAAAACCCTGATTCCGAACCGGTAGTGTATATGGGCTCCAGGATCCTGAGGGAACAAATGGCGTATGAACCCATTGTTGGTCACTGGCTACTATGGGTCTCCATCTCTTGACGTTGCTCCACTGCCTTGTGGATCAGACCTTCAGGTCGAAGGCTCTAGGTGTGGCCTCTCTAGGAAAAACACATGCTCCGGTCTAGGCATCCGAGCAGTACCATAGCCCACACACAAATCAAGTGACTTGTGTAGTGAATATGTATTCGGTGCCCCATTTGTACCAATATTTATGTTCAAATAAATAGGATAGGAAATGTCAACCTCGCAGGTTACGTACTTAGCAATAACTGTTAGGCTTAGTTCCCTCCAATTACATAATTTAGTTTTTAGATTAACGACTAGGTAGTCAAGTCGAAAGCACTTTCCTTTGTCTTCATAGCTTATGTGTCCTGACACCAAGCGGTAGATAAAACCTGGGATGTCAGTCTTCGATTTTTGTACGTAAGAATTGTTAGGACGATAGAATTTATCACAGCTTCATGTCATCATACTCCTTGTTGTTAGAAATTCGATAATCAATCTCTGAATTAAAATGATCATAATACGTTTCGCCTTTCTAATGGTAGTTTGGGTATTTCGATTTGTGGACAAGATTTACTATCTTCTGAGGATATGTTTTTCAACGCTGCAAATCTATGCTACCATCAGCCTGTTTTTAATGTTCATTTAAAGCGGTATTTAACTGAAAATTGCTTTTTCCAAGATTGATTCTTCAGATATCAGCTCACTGTGTAATTATGACCTCACCAAAGATTCTGTTGGAAAGTGCTTGGATCAACCGCTTGACGAAAAATACTCCATAGAACATTTATATAGCCGTACGCGACTCCTTTACATGCTAGAAACAAGCTTTGGATTGCAGGAAGCCGGTCTTATATCTCAAATTTCGTATGTGAAAGGGATATGTACGTAAGTAATACTTTGTGACCTAAAACTTTCAGAACTATTACTTGACTACATTCTCACAGAATTGACCATATTTCAGTAATATATATATATATATATATATATATATATATATATATATATATTCTAAGATTTCTGTGTTGTTCTATTCACATCTTGTTGTCTAATATCGTCTGACCATAATTTCTAGCTATTATATTTGTTTTGGTAATTGTTCGGATATCAATACATCCCAGTATCATGCCCTAAGTATCTGTCAATAATCTTTTAGTTTTTCATCCCACAACTGTTTAGTAACAATATACAGATTTCATGTCACATAAGTCTATGACTCAGCTGACTTAAGTATTGATTTATAATTTTCCAAATCTCTAGGATGCAAAGATCCTAGTGCCGTTGTAGAGATGAGTCGAGTATACATCATTACCAACCAGTATTTTTATTGTCAGTGTAATGAATCCATGTTCAATCTTGTGACCTCACCTCACTTTTAGCTGTAAAAATTATATAAATAATTCTGAAAGATTTTTTCTTATTTAAAAGTTCGAGTCTAAGCACGACTTGGGACTAGTTGTCAATGTGAAAGCCATATTTCACCAAAAATGTATTGTAAGTTGTCGTAATGTGGACACCGGAATTTCAACTACTGGGTTAGAGTACATAGCCTCAACTCAAGTAATGGGAATAATATCTCCAGCTACATAGAGTAATCATGGCTCACAGTCTAATGTTCACGAACCTATACTTGTTTACTAATTTACATAATAGCAGCACTGAATTTAGTTAACGAATTCAGACCCATACTCGATCCCGTTACATAGAAGTATTTACCTCGATTTCAATACTCTATATTCATTCGCAGTAATAGGTTTTTTCCGAATCTGTTTTTTTTTAACTAGAACAAGAGGAGAAATATCACCAGATATCAACGAAGAATATTTAAGGGAGCTAGAAGTAGAATGTACCAAATTAGCCTCAGAATTAGCTACTTTAAATCAGCTGGAGGTTATTCAAGTTCAATCAAGAAATAAATTGGTTGAAAAGCAGAACCAATTAAAACATATGAATGATGTAAGTTAATCTCCATTTTTGTAAGGCATTACTTTGCTATCTGAATAGCAGGCTGATATGATTCTACGTAAAAAAACAGAAAAGGATGAAAAACGGGAGGCGTACGATACACAAAAAATAGATCAATAATGACAACCAAGTATTATCGACTTTGATGCTTCATTTACACTGATCAGCAGTCAGATTTAAAGAAAAGTGCTAGATGTCAATTAGTCAACAACCTAAAGTTTCAACACAATCTGTACCGTAGAATTAGATTCCTTTAACTAATAAATGTAACTAGCTTGGTGAGTTGTGTGATCCATCCTTCCTCAAACGTTCTTTTTAAAACAGAATTTTCGTTGAGTGATTGGAAATATTTCCCTAACGTATAGTCAGCTACGGATATAGGGATTGCTTATTGGTTATCCATTTACGTTTTGTCATCATATTTTCAAATGTTGCCTTGAATAATCGAATAAATATATGCCTTAAACTATATCCTTATCATAAATTAACGTTACGTTGAATATACATTCTTTGTTTAGCCAGTAGACATTTAAGTTTCTGTAATTATACTGAACTCTGTGTTATAAAAAATTGTTCATGCTCTGTGGCGGTACTTCACCCTCTATCAGAAAGCAGTTACTGCATACTAATCTGTTATTTCTTGATATTTGTCTATTGTTCTCTATGTTGTACTTATATAACATATACGCAGTTCAGATGGTAACAATACAGATAAAACTGTAACATGGTGAACAAAAAAGTCATTACAAACAATGGAACATATACAGAAGTTCTAAAGTGTTTACTAAAGTAGCTGATAATAGTGACAATTAATATACAAGGCGGAAAATTTATGATTAAGCTATTCATTTTTTTGACAATTGGAGCATATTTCAAAACTTTAATCATGTCTTCGTAGTTGTATTGTTTTTTCTCACATCATATGTAACTCATAACCTAACACAATTATTTGAACTATGCTTTTCGTTCTGAATTTCAAGTATTACTGTTTTGTTATGATTGAAAGGATTGGTCATGTTTGAATGATAAGAAAGGAGGTAGTGACTACGTGATCAGAGAACTTGGTTTTAAACGATTAGGTTGCAGGTTTGAACCCCACTTTGTAACCGGGTAGTATCACCAGTTGTCACATAAAACAATATGTCTCAAAACCGAGTAGTAAAAACTACTTTGTATGTTGGATAGGGTGATAATGCCTGCATTTAAATTCCAAAAAGGATTGTCTTTCTAGTGTAAATTTATTTCATACTTGGAAATCCTTTACTGATTTCCGTCACCAGTCTTCACTATATTAAAATATTATTGATGTTTGTTGTATAATGATAATCCATCCTCCTCTTTATAGGTTGAAGGGATTCTTCGTCAAGAAAATTCATGGTTAAGATTTTTGACAAATATAGTTGATTTAGAACATGATTCTTGTAAACAAGCCTTAAAAGAATTGATTTCTATTTCCCAATCACTTCATACTCTCAAGGATTATAGTGTTCAGGTAAAATGCAGTTGTATTTGAAATGTCTTACTTATCGATAACTCATATTTTCAGGGGGTTTTCGTCTACTGTTTTAGTACTTTTGTAAATTGTGGCCTTTAAAACTAGAGATTCTTACGTTAATAGTATTCGGTGATAAATTTCAACGAAGCACTGCTCGTGTATCTTCGGGCCATCGAATAAACAATGTTAAAGTTAGACAGGGCACTAGGTTTTGATGGTAAATTGATTGGTGAGGTTGTGAATCTTTATCATTTGAGCTGGTTGAGACATGTATTACATATGCTCAACCATCATCAACCTCGACTGCCGATACTATCTCGTGTAAGAGTAGATTGTATGAAAGCTAGAAGCGACCAAACTAATAGTTGTCATCAGTCCATAAAGTCTTCAACTGTTGGACTGGGCTATGTATGTAGATTCAAATTATTTGATTAGGTTCCACGCAATTATTGTAACTAATGTTTATAAACGACGAATGACATGACTCGAAATCAATCGCAATGGTACATATGCATTCACCCTTTGTCTTCACTTAGATCTTGAGTCTTAGGGTTACCTTATGCGTTTCTGTTCCTACTGATTAGTAAATACATGCTATACAATACTGTCTTAGTGGTTAAGGCTGTAGATTTTCAGTCACTTAGTCGTCTATCTGAGTTCCACTTCACCTATTCGGGTTTAAACCGGCAAGTAAAATAATCAGTAGCCCGTACACATAAAGCGTTCTGCAAAGCCAGGTACATGAGTCCGTAATTAGTAAAAAAGTGATATCTTTTTATATCCATCTAGCTGTGCTAATGTAAAATGTGGCGTACTGAAACTAATAATGTCTCAGGCTATGACACAGAGTGACGCGAGTCTGAATCCCACAGGGCATGTGAATTTTCTTAAGATATCGGATGCGCGTTGCTGACGGGTAGCCATTAGTACAATCCTATATTCAGGGACTCCTGTTAATTGTCTCCATCCACTTAATACATCTGGTCGTCGATAGATTCTAGGCGTAGATAAAGTAAACCTAGAATCCTAATTGAATCGATCTCAAAATATATTACTTGTGGTTAACCAACAAATTAAAAGTAGTTTTGCTTTAAAACAGGTACCATATCAAGGATAATTTAGAATTGGTAAGCAATGGACTGCTGTTCAGTCTTAGTATGGAGCTTCTCAGTAGTTCATAATTAGCGACACTGTATGGAGAAGAGCCTAAGATGGTTAACTATTTGAGTAAATAAATTTTATTCAGCCACTTAGTCATACTGCAATAGTCTACAATACAAAATTCATTCATATTACGACATGGGATTTAAATGACGCAACTACTATCGTTTCTTATGGATCAAAGTTCAGTAAAGGTAAAAGTTACCAAAGAACAAAGGGAGCTGGGGTTAAAACCATCATGCCAAACTGTTCCCGTTTTCTAGACACAACTTCATTCTCATTTGATTTATTTCGTTCTTTATGACCAAGTAGTATCTACACGAAAAATTTTCAATCTCATGTTGTCTACTAAAAGCATATTTTTATTCACTAAATATTTAGCTTCTTGAGAAATCAGCAAGCTTATATCAATCAGACGATCTGATAGAATGTGATGAATCAGTTAGGAATGATGTCTCAAAACATTTCGAAGATGCTGTTATTCATCTGCTACTAAGTAAGTTGATTTTACCTACAATTATCCTTAATATTTTTACATGATTTGTTTTGATTTTATCTAATATTAGGCAGATGTATGGATTGCTCACATTGTGCTCCAGTAACCGGTTCAAGTTAGAAAACGTCTTAGAGAAACAAATGTCCTACTGATTATTTTATCAGTAGCATATTTATAAATGGCAACATTTATAAGGCTAATTCTTAGCGATTGTTTTAAGCTAACTTTTCATTACTTGTTTTAATCAGTTGATTAAATTATGAAATATAAAATATGTAGTAAGATTAAAATGGTGCGTATTGATTTTATTGGTTGGTGTAGCTTTCATGAAAGTTGTCTTGATGTTACTTACAATATGAAATGAAAAATTGTGGTTTCCAAAACTCATCTCAGTGTGATTTAAAAATTACATCTCATTTATTATATCATTTCCATTACAAATCTTGGATTCCTTCCACCATGTACTTACTTTAACAATGTTAATTAAGCATATGACCAAAGCAAGTCACCTAAAAATTGTTTTTGTTGAAGTAACTCCTGTCAAGTTTATCACTTTTAAAGTCATTGATTTCGTCTTTTTCCCTAAATATTTATACTTTTATGTCCCAAACTCCAGATTTATCTTGATTTATTGGACTGTTGTCTGTGTACAAACAATCGTAGTAAGCCTTCAAAGTAAATTAACACTAATATTTACTTATTATAATAAATTATTAAAATTCTTATTCTTATTAATTTTTATTAAGAAATAGGATAATAATAAAACATTTCAAATCAGGTAACTTAACCAATAGTTATTTTACACATGATAGACATCAGAATTCCATTTCATGTTAATATCCGTTAGAAATGTTTATCTCAGGACAATTTTAAGCTGTTTCTAATGTGTTTATCACATGGTTATTAATTAGCACGTTTAGAATTATTGATTGTTGTAAAATTTTAATCTTAAGGCTGATTATAATAAGAGCTAACTACAAATATTATTAATTTAATATATTGATAGATAACTATTGCGTGGTGTAATTAGCCTGTCAAAATTATTTTATGATTGCAAATACGTATTTGAACACGCGTCATTTATGGAAACATGCCGACGAGTTAGCAGTTATTCAATGTCTAATTAGGTTTGTTCCTTAAATTATCTTTACACATTGAATCTTAACGCATAAGTTGAATATTGTCTTAATAAATGACGTAAATCGATTATGATTATCATCCCGGAGACTTGCGCATTCCACATTATTGAGTGGAAAAAGAGGAGAGGCTGTCGTTCTTTTAACATGCTGTTTTGGTATAAAGTATGGCTATTGTGGAGTGGCATCTGTTTGTTTCCATGACATCTTAGCTGGGGTTCTGAAGGTCGTGCCACTTAGTGCCCTAGAATGGGTCATGATAAAATTCGGTATAGATCCTTTTGAAATTTCTTACCACATACATTTTAAAGCGAGATGGTCTCTTAGCTGAAAGAAGTCCTTCTTGACTGTATCTTAAACTGCACTGTATCTTTTAGTAAGTATTATTGTTCGCCATTTATCTATAGATTACACGGTCCTTCCCTCTTTTACTTCATGATATTATTACTTAATTTGTATGGCACATTTTTTATCACTATTGCATCGGAATTTCCGTAACGCAAATAATTAAAAACCTCTTGTAATTGGGGAACCCTACTCTTTCCTATTTTAAATTGCACTAGTACTCTACTTTGTTTTACTAGACTGGGAACAATGCTAGTGCCAAGTAAACATGTTTAATCACAATATGCAGAGATAAATGATATTAAAGCAAACTGATAGATAATTCAAGTTTGCTATCTTCAGGATCTCTTACGCCTCATAATGTTACCTTAACTTAAAAATCAATTAATCGACGTGTTCATACATATTAGCTCGTCAAATTGTAGTGCAACAAACGTATATGTCGGTGAACCTTATAGGTAAGGATGTCCACTATCTTGGATATGTTTTACATCTCCAAAGTTTACGTTTTTTATTTAGTAACACATGTGTGTTGATTTCCATTCAAATATTTCAAACTCATAGTAATAAAATCTACAAATAAATTCTGAGACACGCTTGAATATGAGTTACAATGGTAAGTACAAATACTTTCTCAATCAGTTTACTGGTTGGTGTCAAATATCTATCTACTCTTTATTACTGATGTCCGACTTACACATAATTCGGGTTCTTATCAGTTAAATATACGGAATCAGAATTAAGTAAAAGGTTTTCAAAATGAAATATCATCTAATTACATTAGTACTAGTAAGCTTTGCATGTGAGATTCTTTTTCTTTGCTTGTTTTTTAAAAATTGAAAACTGTCATAGAAATATGGGATTGATAACCTATAAAAGAAATAAGACCTATCGTGAATATATATCTATCTATCCAAGGTGCACAGCCGTAAGAAATCAGTGATCGAAACGTAATGAGTGAAAATAATTTCAACAATAGTTAAAATTTGACAGGACAACAAAGTCATCAAAAACATTTGAGAGTCGGAAATCAAAAGTTTAACATATTTCAGTATATATAACTTGATGAATATTGAAAGCGAATAAATTAGCACAGTCAAAAACGAATCCTGGTTTTATCATTCTTGAGTAATTAATTCAGTTGTCTCAGTCAGAAAAAATTAGATCTAATTCAGATCTACGATGTTTTGTGCGTGCTCGGATCACCCGTTTATAAGACTATTCTTTTGTTACTACTCTATAGTAAAATAAAAGTTTTTCGTGTTTTTTTACTGAAGTCTTGTAAATTTTCCTTTACTTTTCCACTTCTATTTCTAGCCTCTCCATTGCCACCTGAGCTTTCCGAAAAGCTTAAAACGACCGAAAATCGTTCAGAAACCATCCTTGATATTCTACGTTCTCTAAAATCTAGGCTGGTATCATCCCAAGATTCCATTAAGATTGAATCAGAGCAACTGGATAAATATATACAGCAAATGTATGTCTTTGTGTGTGGTTATATTTCTGAAATATTTAAATTTGTTTACTTGCTGAAGGCCATAACAATTATTAGTATAGTAATAATTTTCAAAACATATAAGACAGAATATTTTTGCCTGAATGTTAAGCCTTTTTGGAACTTATTCTAATTTAAATATATTGATATTAGGATGTACTTGTTACTAAAATTAAACTTTATGAGATGGTGGAGATTTGTAGCTGAGGTGGATGATTTTGGTGGAGTTTTGTTCTCTGAGCTAGATGGTTTGGACCAAAATTAAACTTTATACTTTAGCTATTAGTAGGTTATTGTTGATGAAGATCCAGTCAAATTGAATAGCTTTACGTTGTTCAGTATTGAGTATTAATTCGATTATATAGACTAGTTAAGAAAATAATTGAAATATATTTGGGTTTAGTTAAAAAGTTACATCTTACCATTTTTGACTACAACACAATTACTATTGATGTCGATTTAATCGCATTGGGTTGCATATTCTGTAGGACATCATACTTGTTATAAATCAATAAATTATAATTCAATAAAACAATCTACCACTTGAAGGTGCTATTTTCATTTATTAATAAATTCTTTACTTTTTTCCACTTAGCTCAAGCACATCTATATAATACTCGATATGATAATCACTAAGACAGTATTCGTAAACATGCCTAAACTACTAATGTGCATTCGTTTCTTAGTGGCCACATTTCAGGAGTTTAAACTACAACATACGCACTAGCATTTGAATGACTGACTATATTATTAGTCTTTACACAATAGTTGTGGTTTGTAAGCGAATAATCAAATCTATTTGTTTTAAACAAACTACACCCCTTACTTGTTCTCGTAAAGAAAAAGTGTGTGGTCGTGTAAATAACCATACTTGTGTGGCCACTTGATTTTGTTTACATTTTTTGATATTACTGATAGGTACAGATTTTGGTTCATTTATTAGGTGTAAAACCTTTTGTAATCAACTATGCTGATTCACGCATATATTGGTTGTTTGAATCTTTCCATTATTGTTTAGGACTGCAGTCAATCAGTCTCGTTTTGACACATGTGCATCCTGTGCGGATTGCTTGGTTATTGCCATTAAGTTAGAGGCAGAGATGTGTAGTGGCTGACAAATCCAAAATAAGACGGAACGTTCGTTTTATGTTCTGCTACTACCTACCATCCATCTTTGCTTGAAACTATAGTGATTTTTCCTATTATTTTCTTTACAAATTCCTCCTTTTCATATTCTTCCTATGTTCTTGTCTTTAACTTAACATTCCACTAGATAATGCTCGATTCGAAATTTCTTTATCTTATTGGTAATTAGATCCTGTCAGTTAATTATACAAAAATTTATATGCACTATTGTGCTAGTTAGGCAACCAAACAGTATTTTCTATTTTTGTCGGTTTGCTTTTATTAGTATTGTTGTTTTTAGTATATTCGTGTATTTGCCATCAGCTGTAATCCAAGCATACTCAGGTAATTTAATAAAATATCTCATTTGTCTTTTCACATTATTTGTCCTCTTTATTTTCTAGTGTATAAATGTACATCTATGAAACAGACTTATTTCAACTGGTCAATAAATAAAACTACATATTGTGTTATAATATCATTATAACTTTTTTTGATAGATTTGTCATAATATTCTGAAAATTAAAAGGAAGTATTATATCTTGGGCGTTTTCCTTAGCTATACGCCCTACTTAACTTTGAAGTGACTGTACCTGTTTTTGTCTAGTTGTATTGTGGAGTAGTAGTCACGACATTCTATTACTAAATGAGGGATTTGAATTTTATCGTACTTTTTAAAACATGATTGCCTAGGTCCGTATCACTAATCGTCCGACAAACGTAATCCACAGTGTATGACACCTAACCGCACCCACTTCTAACAGTTGCTTTCAAAACTGTCTTATCTCTCAAGGTGACACTCACTGTCTTAGTATGTGTTTGGAATTGGTCAAGTTTAATACTCTGACAAAATAGAATATGTTTATATTCACATATTACCTACTGGTTATTGCAACCCGCTTTTTCTAGTTACTCAAAGGCACTTAAATTTTATTCATTTATTTGTTTTAACACATTGATATTGGTACAAGGAGGCACCAAATACATATGCGCCACACAGATCTCATTTGATATGTGTGAGGGCTGCGATACTGCCCGGGTGCCCAAACCGAAGCAGGTGGTTTTCTTAGGGGGCCACACCCGGAGCCTTCGACCTGAAGGTCTGATCCACAAGGCAGTGGAGCATCGTAAGGAGATGCAGTCACATGGTAGCCGGTGACCAACGATTGGTTCATACGCCATTTGTTCCCTCAGGATACTGAAGCCCATGTGCACCATTGGTTTGGAATCAGGGTTTTCCAACTCCCCTAGGTAGACTCTCCATATCCACCAACCCGGTTAAAGTGTCGGACATTCGTTTTTCGTCCTCTCAATTTGGTAAACAACACCTCTGCCACGAGAAAGTAGTGAGTAGGACTTCCTTGGCAGAGGCTATATACGCGTGGCCATGTGAGAGCATTTCGACCGTGAGAGAGGACTCTCCCCACTCTCGGTCGTACCAGGGCATTTGGGGGCTATATTACAAAATGATGTGATTATTTGTTTATTGTTTTGGAAAATATTCATTCACGAGTCTTCTATGTGAAAATTGTAAAGAAATGTTTATCTCATTATTAAAACAGATTATTATATTAAGGAGGAAGAGTGTATTTGTAAAATCTCAGCGAATGAATTTGAAGTAAGCCCAACGTTTCGCTCGGCAATCTGATCTAAGCTTCCTCGAGGATATATATGTCCTACATCAACTCGGCCCTCAAATACTGTGAAACCATCCGTTCAATTTAAACTAAAGTTCTTACAAATTATTATTATTAGTCCATAGAATAATAGAAAGAGATTACATCATGAAGTGATCCGAGATTTTAAACATCAAAAAAAGGTTGAGTAAGAATCGAAATGTTATACAAAATAGAATATGTAAATGAAAATAATATACGGATCAGAAATAGGAAAGATAAAATGTAAATACAAACTCATAGCTTAATTAAATGTTTTCGTCAAAAAGAACATTGTCTTCATTGATTCCTTCTCATTTCTATTCTAATCATTATTACAAAATAGATTATATTCATTTATTTTTTACAAAAAGGAGACCAATATCCATTTGGCTATCATTTAACTATTTTAAAATAATCACATTATGATAATTACTTACTATTTATTATACTTTTGACCTTCAATCTTTTCTATATTGTTTTTAAAAGTACTAACAACTAATATATAAACATACCATACAAATAAAAAAAAGTTATATTCTATTCTTAATTAGTTCACATGGTTATTAGTGAAAATGTACATAAATTTGCCGTGGAATCACTTGGTTTCATCGTAATCTTTATTTTTATGATTTAAACATAGTAAAGACTATGTATCTATTTGTTTATAAATGTGATTGGTCAGTTAATGAGTCGATAAATGATACAGTATATTTAATAGTTAAGATTTATGAGTCAATTGAAGCTAAACCACCATGGAAAACCTGGAGACATTGGACGGCCGTTTCGTCCCATTGTGGAACTCTTCAGCAGTGGACATTCACAATCCTGCCTCGGTTCAGTGGTCTAGTGGTTAAGCGCTCATACGCGAGATTGATAAGTCCTGGGTTGGAATCTCGCGACCATTAAACTTTCTATAATATCCGCAAAAAATTCTTCTGATACAGTATTTATTAAAAAAGAATGAAGGTTTATGTTTCAGCAAAGAAAATATTTTCTGCTAAATGGTTCCTTTGAAGCTGTTCAATAATTTTCTATTTTTTTAATAAATAATACTACACTACTTCATTTTCATAGATTTTTAGATCCGATGCTTGAATAATTTTGACTGTGTGTTTTTCTTCACTCAACTTGTCTTTTTAAAGTTTGACTGTGTTTGGTAATTTTATAACATTAATCTATTGTACAGATTAAGAAACTGATACCGTCTAAAAGAAAACTTTCTTTGTTGAAATGTCTCCATTCTTTCTGATGGATCAATAGGTTTCTCTTATTTTTGTGTGATTTAGTATTTATTAAAACTTTATTTCCGGTTTTACGATAATTAAACTACTATGCGACAGTTTAAGATTTTATAAGGTATATCAATCGAGCATAAGCGAAACCAATTGCTATTCGATTACAGTTGTGTACTACTTAAACAGAAATGAGGAAATATGGAGATGACAAAACAACATAAGATCTGTAATCCTGTGTTCACTGTTAGTGTTATTACATGTAATCCCTCTTCCTTCATATCCTTAGAATGTCATTTTTATTTTTTGCAATGTATAGTCGTTGCCTATATTTATTATCTAATATTTCATCCTTGTTATCTTCATGTTTATTTTAGTCGTAAACAATTACTTGGTTTGAAAGAAACATTCGACCTTCCGGATTCACTTATTTCATGCGATACACCTTCTCATCTTGAACAACTGAATCCCGATCGTATTCGTTTTTCTTGGAGAGGTCTTTGTTCTACAGAACTTACAGATTTATTTGTTAATACTTGTAAAGATATAAATGGTTTAGTTGAACAATTGGATCGCCTGGAACTCGAAGCAGATATTACTTTTCCTCATATATAGTTGTCTTATGTATAGATTTACTTGTGTACGAAATAAAACAAGCTTTTTCATCCCAGTTTATTTCGATCACTTCATGCAAAGAAACTGTAAGCAACTTTATCAACTAGCTAGATAGGTGTTTTGATACACGCAGATTATTTCGGAACGATTAAAACTACTTTTTTGTAATGTGGTCAGAGTTCTCATTGTGAACCTTTGTATTGTGACTAAGTGGTACTATGCTGACCTGAAATTACTAGGTTCAATCCCTTGAGTTGGTATTCCAAACTTCCGGTAAGGTTCAATATACTCGACGATTCTGAACATTTCTTCAGTTGATTGTAGATCATTATGAAAACCTTGGACGGAGGGCAAAAGATTGAGTAGCTTTTAAGCCCACAATGCCTCCGAATGTCCTCGTATGGCTAAGAGTGGGGAGGGCCACCTTTCCTCTCGAAATGCTCTCATACGGCCACGCGTATACAACCTCTGCCAGGGAAGTCCTACTCACTACGAGGGTGTTGTTTACGAAATTGAGAGGACGAAAAACGAATGTCCGACACTTTAACCGGGTTGGTGGATATGGAAAGTCTACCTAGGGGAGTTGGAAAATCCTGATCCCAAACCAATGGTGCACATGGGCTCCAGTATCCTGAGGGAACAAATGGCGTATGAACCAATCGTTGGTCACCGGCTACCATGTGACTGTATCTCCTTACGATGCTCCAGTGCCTTGTGGATCAGACCTTCGGGTCGAAGGCTCCGGGTGTGGCCCCCTAAGAAAACCACCTGCTTCGGTTTGGGCACCCGAGCAGTACCACAGCCCACACAGATAAAATCAAATGACGACATTTACTGATAATAGTATTCTCTCCTCGATTAAAAGTCAAACAATTCACGTTATATTATTTATTTGTTACGTCACTTATTCGCTTTCTTTTATTCCCACTTTCTGTGTGTGGCACATATACATCTGGTGCCCCTTTGTACCAATATGTGTTCAAATAAAATATAAAAAAGCCTACAATCCAACAGATAGTGGTTGTATCTTTACACTGTATAGTATGAGAGATTTTGTAGACAGCCATTTAATTGGGATCACCAACTGAGCTAAGTTAACAACCCTTGAAAGTTTTCTCGTTTAAATATGGGATTTCTCAATTGTGTCCATCCACAACTTCGTGTCTGGGAGTCAAACCCCATTACCTTTGGTCTCCCATGTGAACGCTTAACCTCGAGACCACTGAGTTGTGTCTAACTTCAACCAATTCATGATATTGCGGGGCTACGTTTGAACTTCATTGGTCAAAAATTCTCACTTTAACTCCGTAGATTTCCTGTTCAAGTTAGTAACTAGTAAGTTTATGATAATTATCAGTATGGGGTTGGGGAGATTATTGGATTTCATTGAGATTACTAGCTGGTCTGGTATAAGTATTGCAAGCCTAAAAGTATCTTAGTATTTGTCGTGTTTTTTATGAAGTAGAACAACAGCTCTTTAATTTTACCCAAATATTTACATAAATTTAAGTTGTCGGAGAAAAATTTTGTGAAGGAGCAAATGCATTTTAATCATACAATATTTATATATTGTACTTAATCAGTTATCGACTATTCAGTGATGAACGCCACTAAGTTAAAGTAGATTCGAAATCCAACGTCTGATCATTGTAAATCGAAGTTACAAGATTCTGATTATTTTGAGTTTAATGTAGTTGATCTGTTTTTAGTGCTATTTTTTCCTTCCGTTGAACATAAATTTACGAGTTTTTCAAGCGTGGAAAAATTATACTGTGGTCACAAACAAGGGAAACTCAGTCGTGGGTACAATTGTGTCAAAGTAACAAAATGGTTCCCTTAATTAGTAATCGAAACACCCATATTACTTTGCATGTTCTTATTAACATTACGTGGAAAGTAAAGAAGTAAAAAGCGTTTTGTTCTCACAAATCAGATCTGTTTTTAAAGTTAATACATGATGCTTTTTGTTTCTAAGTGTTCAGATAAATTTTTACTTTGCATATAAAGTAAAATTAATCATATTTCCGGTCAGTCAGTCAGTTACAACGTAGGACCAGGCACATACATGGGTCGGTCCAAGTTGCCACACCTCATGAGCGCAGCAAGACGAGTATTTCCACTCAAGACCATTAATTCCTGTCGTTCTGTAATGTGATATTATGTTTGTTATTGGTTTTCGTCAGACAGCGTTTTGGTGTCAGCCTTAAATTATAGTTTATTAACTTTGATGTCAAAAGTTTAAGGAAAAGTGAAGCTCAGTAAATATTAATAGAAAGCCAATTAGTCTAACCACTAAATAGTTCTGACTAACCATCTTAACTAATTATTGATGTAATTAAATTCAAGTTTATTAATCAGTTGTACAATCTATATTCATTTTTACACTGAGAACCATGTTTATGAAATCTTTGTTTTATTTATACGAAACAATGTAAAAGCAATATCGGTGTTTATTGTATTTAGTCATCCAAATTTGTTCATTAATATGGAAGGTCAAGTTACTATCCACTTCGACCATTTTGTATTTCAACATCTACATCCGTCAATAACAATAAATATATTTATTTGTCTACATGAGTGTACATATCTAATACGCTTATATCACTCATCACGTAAATTTCATACATGATAATCTACCATCAACAATAGATTGACCTTATTTTTCTCATTGTTTATCGGGTTAGTAAATAATAATAGAACTAAGGTAAGAAAGTGATAATCTAGAGTTTTGAATTTATTTAGTGTTAATCAAGTAAAGTAAAACTATACATGGTCGAAAGAACTAGAAAATGTAGGTTCAATTAAAAGTTTGACCTCTAGGTCAGTGTTATGTATTTAACTTCGGAATTTCAAACTATTTCTGAATGAAATTAAGAAAAGTGATAGTAATGACTATTGTCAACTAGCGTGATCCTATATTCCATACATCTGCGCTTAATTCATTTTGGACTGTTCTACTGTTAACAAGAAGCTTTTTTTTGTGTGGATTAAGTAGAAATTTAAGAGGGGACTCATATTTCACTTTGAATTGTATCAATGTTTTACTTTTCAAAGCTTTGTGTCTATCGGGAAAATCACATGAGTTTGTTTATTTGGTCATTACAAAAATATTTCTGGATTTAAGGCCTGGTTTTTAGTTTTATGCAATATTATAGTCGTAAACAAATGCAACACACATTTGGTTGTGAAATTCTGATCTATGAGGTGGAAGGAACACCTGTTTTGGCTTGAGGAATCGTCTGCCATCCGTATTTTATTTTTTAAGCGACATATGTCTTCCTTATGAGTTCCCAAAACTTGATAGTAATTACTAATGTGTATTGTCATGCACGAAACCAAGCAAAGAAATAGAGCGGCTGATATCACTAATTATTTATTTCCAGGAACCCATTTGAACTGTATGTACTAAAGTATGTATGATGCATTACGGGATTACTTCTGTGAACTCATAAATATCGTGAATGTTCTTGAAACTTTTGTTTGAATCAAGAGGTACTTTAAAAGTAATAAGACTACTCCAAAGTAAATCAGACTTGACTCATTTCTGTCATCAAGGATTACTTTTTAAAATTTAAATCCACTTTTAAGTGGATCATATAGCATTTAGCTTCACTTAAACCTTAAAATAATCACGTATTTTATTCATTAGAAAGCCCTTCATGTTAAACTTTTCTACATAACAAATATGTATCTTAAAAGATTATAATTAACTTTCAAAATACCAAAACGTATCTGTCATGTATTGTATAATCAGCCATCTATTTATGTGAATGAGGTGAATACTAGGTCTCAAACCAATAAGCTCTTGAATCAAATTATGCACTAAGGTATTTGTAATTCAGTTACACTATATTAATTGAATGGACGAAACTAATTTACTCTGATAAAAAAAACTGTTCGATAGTTGACTCTAATATGTTCTCATAAAACTTGATGGAAATGCTTATTTGTATTTTCTATTTACTTACTCAAATATTTGTTAAGTGTTGTTATGATTACAAATAATGTAAAAAAAATCAATGTAACAGAAATAATATAAACTCATTTATTTCATAGATTTTACTCAGCTATTTACAAGTTGAAAAATATAAGTATTCAATTGACTCATAATTACTATAATATCCATAAATCCTTTCTCATACTAATCAATATATGCTCACTAGTGACTGGTTTCAAAAGGTATTTCATGGAGTTCTAGTGAGAAGCTGTGATCAGTGGAGTTCAACCAGGTCTGTTGTGGGATAGTAACTCACTGATGACAATGGTGAATGTGTCGATCAATTTCGTGAAATATTTGAAGTTAGACGTTAACACCATTGAATACCGGCTCAGTGGCCTAGAGGTTCACATTAATCATGTGAATATTCTAGAAATTTTTGAAATTACATCATGTTATTTCTAGATTAATAATACTATTATTTTTAAGTTATAGGTAACTGGAAGGAATCTGCAAATTAAATAAATTCCTATTATGTTGTCAAAATCATTGTTCTTATTTTATATAAATTTATCAAAATGAAAATTTGTTTGGCATTCATTAATTTACATGTCCAATTAAATACTATAAACAGTATTTAATTTAGTATTTAATTTAATACGGAAATGATGATGATCAAAGCTGTTTATGTTCGGTAAGAATCAAAATGTACAGACACTCATGAGCATTTATAGATATTAGCGTTTGTTATAACTTCAACCAATCCGGAAACAAGCATACCACGTTGATATTCTCGAAAGCTCCATCATGTTCTGTTTGGATGGAAACTCTGGAGGCTCCGTCGTAGTTCTCGGAAGCCGACCCAACACCTCTCTGGAATAAGATTTCTTGCTTCGGTTCACTTGAGGCCTGACAACTGGTTTGCGATGGTGTTCCATTTCTTTTCCGCTGTCTTTCTTGTCCAAGTCTTCATTTCAATATCTTTGGGGATATGTTTATTTGATGTATCTGAGATTAACTAGTGGAAAATTCAGCTGATTATCTTGAGTGTGCATCATTCTTTTGTCTTTAAGGATTTGGTTTGCGTGTTTGACACGTCCCAAAAGTTCCTCAGATTC